TGATTTTAATCAATGTTTTGAATGAAACACGACTGTCTGGATTATATAATGCACTAAGTATTATAGATCATGATTTATAAATTGCACTTGTTGGATTCACACAACATACTAAGCCAAAACCAAACAAAATCTAATATGGCTTAATATATGAATTGATCACATTGATCAGGCTGATTTTAAAATGTATGTAAGGAAGAAACTTTGAAAAAAAAGGAATTGTTTTTTTAAATACATCGGCATAATCTTTACTTACATTTACTGTAACCATGCGACAATATTGTCCTGACAACATCAGTTTCATCGATTTCCCCCTTGTTTTATGAGATTGCTTTTGTTTGCCATCAGTGAAACTGGCCTAAATAATACAAAAGTAATATTCTTCCCCCTTATTTCAGTGCTACCCAACAGCCACCTTGAGGTGTGTACAATCTTTGCCATTCCTTACACTGAAGTTATGTGACCTGTACTGACTGTGGAGAGAAATTTGGGGTTTTAAGAGATGTTGATCAGCCACCTGTCTTCTGATCCCTAGCTAGCTTCCACTCTAACCATTTCTTTCCTAGCATTTGTCTTTTTGGTTAGCAGTTGGTTTCTTGAATTCCTTTCACAGCCATCCCTCCCCACAATACTGTTTTTGACACCTGGCTTCCAACAAGGTAAAAGAAACAAACCTTATTTCATTGGGGAAAAGGGCATAGTTGTGTTTATTGGCCAGTTTCCTGTAGTTTCAAGCATTTTCTTCTCCTCTTATAGCAGCTGGTTGGTTTTAACTCACCTATTTAGCAGTTTACCCTGGTTTGGGGGGGAGGATTGGTTTGCCATTGATTTCTTCCTAGGCATGAAGAGAAAATGACTGTCCCGAGGTCACCCAGCTGTCTTTCTGCCTCAGGCAGGACTAGACTTCACAGTCTCCCAGTTTCTAGCCTGATGCTTAACCACTGCTCTAAATCACCTCTCAGTCTTTCTATTTTCCTTTGTTTCATATAATTTTAATGAGTCCAAGGGGCAAAATGAGATGTGGGTGGTGGGTCAGACAAGGGAAGACGGACAGAATCCCAAAGCATAACCAGTCCAGTTCTTAGTCAGTCACTTTGCCTATGACAGTGGTGGCGAACCTATGGCACGGGTGCCAGAGGCGGCACTGAGCCCTCTCTGTGGGCACGCATGCCATCACCTCAGCCCCACCTCCCCCCATGGCCCCCTCACCAGCAGCCCCCCCGGAGGAGAATCACCCCCGAGTGCAGCCCACGCAGAACAGCGCAGCCAAGGACATGGCAGCCGGGACAAGACTCCGCCCTCGCGCCCCGTTGCGCACAGCTGATGCTGTGGGGCATGGGTGGACGGTGTGGCTGCCATGCACTGCTGGGCCGCCTGGGCAATCTGTGGCGGGCCATGGAGGTAGTGAGTGGTCCTGTGGGGGGGTGGGGCCGGGTTTGGGGCACTCGGTCTCTAAAAGGTTCGCCATCACTGGCCTGTGATGTCCCCTTTTTCACTTGATGAAGGGGAAAGATCCACAGAACCCAAACACAAAACCATCACTGGAGATTGAAACTGAACTGGGTCCTTTTATTTACACAGGAGGGGGGGGGACTATGTTGCTCCTACATTTCTTCTGAACTGGCCTTTGCCACTCTGGGAGCTGTGTGATGTGCAGTCCCCACGAACACACCCCAACGAGTGCTAAATCCCCATTTGCTAATTTCTGCCTAGTTAATTAGTAGGAAAGGACAGAAATAATAAGACTCCGTATCTGCGCCAAATAAGCCAAGAAAAAAAAAACCGACCTCGCCTTTCTTTTCTAGGGCACCTGGCAGCCTTCATTAAGCCCATTCCAAATTCACATTCTGGGCCAAGTTTTTCTGTCTGCTCAGGGTAGCTGCAGGCCAACCTGCCTCTGGTGAGGAGGGAGGGCCGCCGCCGCCGCGTTGTGCTTAGGCCGGCCTCAAATTGTCCCTTTGCCAACAGTGGTCCAAGGGACAACTCCGACCTCACGCCGAGGCTGCAAAGCGAGGGAGGAAGGGTCGGCGGAAGGGTCCTGCTAGATCAGTGTTTCTCAACCTTGACAATTTTAAGGCATGTGGACTTCAACTCCCAGAATTCCACAGCCAGCATAGCTGGCTGTGGAATTCTGGGAGTTGAAGTCCACATGCCTTAAAATTGTCAAGGTTGAGAAACACTGTGCTAGATCCATCGTGTGGAGGCCGATACTCGATCAAAATCCACCAAAGCAGCAGCCCGGGCCTGCTCAAGGGAGGGAGCCATCAGACCTGAAGGCGCGTCAAGTGGCTGGAAGCGAGCGTTAAGTCTGCGACCTGCCACTTGAGCAAACGACGCCGGCATCCTGTGGGGGGGTGGGGGGGGGGGAAAGGGAAGATAAGCCAAGCCAAAAAGAAAAAAAAGAAAAAACACCGGATACCCACGACGAAGGGACATCCGTCTATCGGAGCTCTCCTTTCTTCGCTTCTCTCCCAATCACTGCACCTCAGCTCTAAAGCAATACCTACTGCGACTCAACCTCCCCCGAAAGGCCCTTTATTTATTTTACAGGGGCTTCCCCCAGGTTTGCCGCCCTTTCCCTCGCAGACCGCGACTTGAAGTCGCTCTCCTCTCCTGTAGGAAACTCAACTCTGCACATGCGCCGAAAAATGAACGCGCAAGTTTCCGGGATAGAACCCCCCCCCCCCCCCCCCCGGCTTGCCATAAGCCCCGTAAGACTCAGCTGCCGGCGCGCACCTCCTTCTCCTTCCCCGCCTACCCCATTCATTCGCCGCTCAGGGCGTGTGTCGGTTTGAGAAAGGCGCGCGCGCAGACACGGAGCCTCGCGGGCCGGCCTGAGCAAGCAAGCCCTGAGGTGCACGTTAGTCGCCGGGTGGTTGAAGGGATGCGCTGAAAAAAGGAGAAGTCTGCCACAACCAAACCACCCGCGTTCTCCCGCTAAGCCTAAAATCCTCAAAGGTTATCTTGTAGGGCTTCCCAACATACCGAGGGGTACTTATATCAACCACTGTGCTTCGTAAAGATTGCCCCAGTTGTTTTCTTCTGTTTAAAAAAAAAACACTTAAGTCAAGGTCATGCCAAGCCGCACAGGTTTCTGTCTTAAGTCAGACGGTGGTGGGGAAGAAGGAAAAAATCGCAACCAAAGACACGATTTTTAGATCGCCGCAGGATTTTTGACGACGAAATAAATAACTTTCCAAAGAATCCTGGCAGGAGGACGTGAAATATTAGGGTAACGTCTACCTTTGCTACGGATAACTTCAGGGACGCGCCGAAGATGGGTTACAGTACACTACTCTCCAACTTCCCGGACCTCTTGCGCTTCAGGCACTCTTCAATTCCTCCCCAACCCATCCATCCCTGAACCCTGTCCTCCCCCAACGGCGCCTTTTCTATTCACCAAATAAATCAATGTTATCAGTTCTCCGTGTACCCCAGAAGTAGGTGGAGATAAAACATGCCCGCCAATGGGTTAGGGGCGGAAATAGTTGCAGGGGAGGGCAAGGGGACTACAAGTACCAACAGGACTTTTAAGATGAGGGCGCAGAGGTCCTCCGCGTGAAACGGGAGGAAGTTCAAAGGCCTGACCAAAAAAAAACAAAAAAGGCGGAAAGAAGCCCGCGAGCCTATTGAATCCATCACTTGGAAATAGAGTATATTATATAATTTATTCTGCACCGGAGGGGGGCAATCCAGGAGGCTGTTCCCCGGCAATGGTACGTTCCTCTTCAGTCCGAACACTAGAGCCAGTCAACGCAAAAAACACGAGGCCCCCCCTCCTCCTCCTCCCCGCGATCTGCAGAACCCCCACAAATCAGGGCACCCCCTAATAATGCATCCATCCAGGTACGCATCAGCGGCGCGCGGGCACGGAGCTCTCAGCCGGTCGGTCAGTTCGTGGCTCTCGGTTTTATCTGCCCCCCCCCCCCCCCCACCCCGGTCGCCCTCCCCTTCGCTCACTTAATCCATGCCGTGGAGATCGCCAGACGCAGACGGGCACCACCTCGCCGCGGGAGCACGAGCTCCGTAGGTCGTAGAGTGGCCAATCAGGCGCGAGCCGTCATCACTTACCAGTTTTCTTGCATCCATTGAATCGCTTCATTCTCGTTGAACTGCTTCTCAAATTCGTATTCCTGCAAAGTCAACACTGACATGTTCATTGGACCGGTCTTGAAGAGAACGCTTCCCTACGCCTAGCCGAAAGGACCGCGTCTGCGATAGACCTGTTTTTTCCTCCTCCCTTTGCTTTCGGAGCGTCTCGTCAGGTGTCTCCTCTCCTGGTGTCCTTCTCCCTTTCAGCTATGTGCTTGTCGTAGCATTGCTTTTATGCTCTTCCTATAGCCTCCTCTCGTGTCTGGAGATCTCCTCGTCTCTGCAATCTACCCGGGGCGGTGAGGAAGCCGCTGCGGTCTTAGTGCTCAACCACGCCTCAGTCCTCCCAGAGCCATTCATTCCCTCTTAAGCGAGAAATTAGTTTTTTTTGACAACGCTCCAATCGTCGTTTAGAAGGCGGAGCTTGCAGCAGTCCGAAAAAAAAGCGTCAGTCTTTTGTACGTAACCTCGGTAAGTAAGATGCCTGGGTTTGCCTAAGTTCTTCTGAAGGGGTTTGCTGGTGGGATACTCATCAGACGAGTAATAAGAAAGGATCATAGGAAAAGAAACAATAAGGGAATAGTCATATCGGAGCAGAATGCAAGCGATGAATATACCTAATTGAAAAATAATATTTTATGCTTTTGTCTTTTGCTTTGAAAACAACTTTATAAACAATGTGGTAATGATCAATAGTGAAGCAAATTAAGGGGATGAGGATGAAAATGAAAAGCCAACTAATCACTAAACTTTATCCGAGTACATGTTTTATGTATGAGCAGTTGCTGATATAAAATGTTTAAGAAAGGAATTAGCCTGCACACTTTAGTAAAGAATGATGGATTCAAATGGAACACGCTGTTTCTGAGTAGTGAATAATTTATACTGATGCAGAGGCTAGGTTTTTTTAAACAAATTATCTGTATTTAGACATTGTAGTTGGATCATGTATTATGCTAAGTCCTAATATAGTTTATACAGTGTTGATTTAGCCTGGTGTGTGAATTGCATTATTTCACTTCTTTTCCATTCCAGGACATTCATTCACATCTGGCTTCTCCACCTAACACCAACACACAGGATAAGATGAGACACCCAATAAGTGTCTGAACTAAATGGACATCACTTGGCTAAACAGCTGGTAGTAGAACAATATAGACCTAGAGTGGTTAATGATCTGATAAAAATCAGTGTTTTGCAAGGGAATGATTTCTGCTCTGTAATACTTATTATGCCTTGCCAACTTTCTTATAGATTAAATTAGGGATGTCAAGTGTAGAAATAGATTTGTATAACACCTTGATTAATTCTTTCTACAAATCCTTTCTTATAATCAGATATATAACATAATAGAGATCTTCTCTTGCCAAATAATCCCTACCATGTTCTGTCTCTTTAATTATAACCCAGGATTATTCCTTGACTTTGGGATCTCTATACAATCAGTACAGCATCTGAAGGCATCAGCTGGCACTCTTGTTATTGTTGGTCCTCAGTTTGGTTATCACAGAAGAGCACTACAGCAGGGTCTCCCAGTAAACCCATCTGCAATCTAGTGCTGGTGGTAGTTCTAAACTGGAACTGCAATAATCTGATTGGAGCATTGTAACAAGCTTGAAATTCAGTTATGTTGCATTCAAAGCACAGCTAACTAAAGGGTAAAAGGTATCAGAAAGTCTGAACAGTCAACTCTTCATTTTAGCACCAGCTGCACTCAACAATGGCTATGTTCACTCAATATATTTAATATGATGACTGAATTAATCCATTGGAAGGACAGGTGTACAATTCATTGAATCAAATTAACCAGTGGTTTATCTGCATGTTAAGCAAATAAAAATTAAGCAAGACTAATTTGTTGGGGGAAGGCAGTGATTGGATCTTCATCTGACATGTTTAAACATGAGAGAACACAGCATATTTTTAAAGCCAGTTCAAAATGCTGATATTTATGATGCTCGGTGGTTTGAAATCAGGGAAATAAGGTCAGTTTTCATCAATAAGTCCCTACACACAGTAGAAGAATGTGGTGACCCATCTTGTTCCCAGCCCATGCAGTACTGTAAAGTCTTCTGCTAATTCTTCCAGTTCCAGAGAATAACCAGTTTTTCTTGCTTCATTAGTCAGAGAGCCAAAGGGTCTAAATTTTATCTGACTCCACCCACCCATTTGAAAAGGTGTGTTCAGGCAAGGAACCTAGCCTTGATTATCATTGATACATTTCTGGAGCAAATGTCAATCAGCATTCTCAAACTATTTTCCCTCTGAATTCATTTTGTTAACTGGCTGACATGGGAAAGGAGGATGGAACAATATAATGTTCCTACTGCTGTATTCTCACAACACTTTAGCCTACTACTCCATGCTAAATATCCCTAGTGAAAAAAAAGTGTCAGGAACTTAATTTATACCATAAACACCTCTTTGTGTACTTGGATATAAACTCAGATTTATTTATTTATTTTCCAAGTCCAGAACATCCTACATTGGAAAGACAAAATATGATATTTAAAATTAGTATAATAATTTAAATAAAGAAAACATTCAATAAGTATATAAAGAGTATAAAAATAGAGACACAGAAAGAATTTAAGATAGTTATGTGATATTATATAGCAGTGATGGCGAACCTATGGCAACCGTGCCAGAGGCGGCACTCAGAGCCCTCTCTGTGGGCACACAGGCCATGCCCTGGAGATGGCAACCGTCCCTCTTCAACCAGCCGAGGTCCCAGATGGCCGGATGCATCCTAGCACCCATGCGCTCGCTGGCCTCTGTGTGCAGAGGTCAATGGTGTCAGGCAGCAGCCAAACCGGCCCCTGCCACACCTTGCCCTGTGACAATGGTACCCCCACCCTGCCTCGCCTTGCCTCGCAGGACAAGCCTCCTGCCCACCGCCCCACCTGGCAGAGACCCCCTGGATCTCCCCCAACCCTCCCCGGCCCCCACAGGCGTCCCTCCCCACAAGAAACATTGAGGTGATCACACCCACCTTGGCCACTCCCACCCAATCTGCCCTGACCACCACAGCCACGCCCACCCAGTGGGCCACGCCCACCTGGCACCCGCCGATAAATAAGTGGGTTTTGGGTTGGAGTTTGGGCACTCGGTCTCTAAAAGGTTCGCCATCACTGTTATATAGCATCTGAAACCCAGAAAACAGCAGTCTGAATAGCTTTATCATTGGCCAGGAACAAATAATCTATTGTATACTCAGATCATTGAGTATAAGGGACTTACGGTACGTAGAATAGGTCAGAACTAAATACAGTAATTATTGTTTTGATCCTTGATTGCCTTGGTTGGTTCTTGTAGGAGGAGCAGTTCTGTTTCTTTTTAAAATCTCCTGACACCCTTTGATGTCTTTGGCCATGACATCCTTCTAATTGTCTTGCCAGAAGGAAGGAAATTATGTGAAAAATGACTTTGTGTTCTGTCCCTCAAAGGCATGCATCCCAACTCAGCTTGCTCACTCCAGAAACATGGACAATTTTGAACACATGTGCCAGATCACCCATAGGAGGATTACAGATTACAAAAATTAAATTTAATGCAAGAATGAAAATGGCTAGGGATAGGCTTCCCTCAGGGTCTTTCTACAGTTAACCTAACCATAGCACAAAATTGCTGCTAATTATAGCATGTATTAATCTCCTAAAAACAAATGATATTTTTTCTCATACCAATTATTTCTCTCTCATGCAGATCTATAAAGAAGTTACTATTTAACACACATTCCACTAAACATTAGTATAAAGATATATATATTTACTGAGAAGTTCAAATTACTTTGTGTTTAGGTGGTTCACTCCCAGCTTAGTGTAATAAAAGCCTCAGTTATTTTTTAATGGGTGATAGAACTATATTTTAAAAAGTGCTATAATGGCTGTCATCTTTGAAAGCTTCTTGCTTTCATGAAACATGGAAAACATTATTTTTAGTTGAGCAAACAATTGTACAATTGGTTTGTACAATTGCTATCTGATTTTTAGAAAAGGAACTCCCTTTTAAAATACTCTCTTTCATTTTGTATTTGCATTTTAATATTTATAATATGACTTCAACATATCTGTCTCCTCAGAATGCATCCCCATTACTCAGTTGCTGGAAAAAACAGGTAACCATTTCTGGAGAACATAGTTGGACAACATCTATGGACAACAAAATTCCCATTTTATTCAGATTATTGCACAGGTTGACATGGTGGACACACATGGGCCCTTAATAGGCAGTGAAGCACATGTCTTTAAACTTGTTTGGATTTCTCAGTTATCTAGGATACATTATCAATAATATTTTTGTTCCTCAAGCTTTTCTAAAACCATCTTAAACATCTGACATCGCCCTGTCCATATAAGGCCCTAATGTGCATTGAATGACCCTAAGCATTATTTTACTTGCATGTGAAATTAAAGGTATTACCTTTCTTTGGTATTGGTAATATAAACTGAGCCCTTCCAATCTGTTACCATTGTGTCATTCTCCCAATTTGCTGACTTAATTTTGTTAGAACCTTTACTGATTTTTCTGTTCCTTGCCATATTTCTGTAGATATTTTAGCACTCCCTGTAGCTTTAATGTGATGACCAGAGAATTGATACAATTTCATTTTCTAGTATTGGAGGTTTTTTTATATAAATATGAAATATCTTCTAGGCCTAGGATGTCTTGGATATTTTAGCTAAAAAGAATTTCAATCTGCTTTTTCTATCTTTTAATTAGTTACTATCTATCCATTAGCTCCCTAACTGAGGTTGGAGAGGTTTGGGAACCAAGGAAAGGTGTCTATTTCCATCTTTGATGTCCTTACAGATGTCATTGTATTACTGTTCCTTATCTCTTTTAACAGCTATCTATGGTTTTTGATTATTATTGTTGTTATTGTTATTATTATTATTGTTATTCCCACTTATTGGTATCATTATGATTATTATTATTACTCTATTGTTTTTCATGTACACTGAGAGTTTCTACACCAGGGACAAATTCCTTATTTGTCTAATCACATTTGGCCAAATAAAGCTACTGTGTCCTGTCCTATCCTATCCTATCCTACCCTACC